CACACACACACACACACACACACACACACACACACACACACACACACACACACACACACACACACACACACACACACACACACACACACACACACATATTTATATGTAATATATATATATATATATATATATATATATATATATATATATATATATATATATATATATATATATATACACACATCGTAGGCCACCACCAGTCGATGTCGACTATGGCATTATTGTCTTTACCCACTCCTGTATAGGCAGAGTCAATGCTGCAAGGGCAAACTTTTGCCCGTGCAGCAGGCTCCCTCTCTCCACGCAATTGATGGATACAAAGGAACGGCAGAGACCGATACGTGTTGCAAAAACGAGGTCGCAGACTGCGTTAGGCTCCGCATTTTCATCAGGGTTGACACACGAAGCCCTTTTCGTCTCATAGATGCAAAATGGCAGTGGATTGTTTTGTACAGGGTGGAATCCCATAGACAATAAAGCCATATATATATATATATATATATATATATATATATATATATATATATATATATATATATATATATATATATACATGTACACATACACATACATATAAATACATAAACACTCACATATATGTGTGTGTTTGTGTTTGTCTGCGTACATATATATTTAGCGTCACGAACTCCCACAGCCGCGCGCGTTACCACTGTACCACGGCTGGCCCCCCCCCCCCCTTTTTTATTCTCTACCACCTTACTACTCTTGTAGTAGATGCAAAAAGGCAGTGGATTGTTTTGTACAGGGTGGAATCCCATAGACAATAAAGCCATATATATATATATATATATATATATATATATATATATATATATATATATATATATATATATATATATATATACATGTACACATACACATACATATAAATAAATAAACACACACATATATGTGTGTGTTTGTGTTTGTCTGCGTACATATATATTTAGCGTCACGAACTCCTTTTTGATCAAGGGCTGGGACAGGCCTGTCCCGTGAAGGACAGGCACGAATTGGCAGGTGGAGACCGTTACCCCGAGTGGAGGACCTTCCTAACCTCGGACCGTGGCCGGGATTCGAACCCGTGCGCTTGCGGACCCTCCCGGCCCACAGCCACGCGCGTTACCACTGTACCACGGCTGCCCCCCCCCCCCTTTTTATTCTCTACCACCTCACTACTCTTGTGGAGAAGTAGTTATGTACTTTCCATCACAGTCATTTCGGATGCTTAGTGGTTTTGCTGCCCCGAAGGTGATTCGATTGCGGGACAAACGAGGTTCGGAGTTCAACGCAATATATATATATATATATATATATATATATATATATATATAGTATATATAAATATACATATATATGTATATATACATACATACATACATATAATAATATATACATATATATGATATATATATATGTATATATATGTATATATGTATATAAAAGGGGTTATAGATGAGTCCCGTGGGAAACGAATTCTTATAAGGAAGAGGAAAAACAATACGGCAGAGAACTTCATGATGAAATTGCAAACGTCTCGGATATGTAATCTTCATCATCAGTGTTATAAAGAAAGCAAAAACAGGGAAATTAATTCTTGTATATTCGAAAACAGTAAACAAAAATGATACAAAATCAAAACCACGAAAAACATCAAATGGCCAAGCAAAAAATGCAGTGTAGCAAGTACTAACCAAATAATGGTTGGTAGTTTACATGATAAACAGGGTGGTTGCAGTGGAAGCAATGTTTAGCTGTGGAGTGATGTGTAGTGATTCTGCTATGATCAGGTCAGATATGTTAAGGTGTGAGGCCAAGATTTTGAAATTGGCATTGTTAAAAGGATGAGTGTGCTTTCTAATTGCCGAGAAGGATGGTTTGCTTAGTCCTGATTGACTTGCCTTTGTGTTTGAGAATGCGGTGACGGAGCCATCGTAAGGTTGATCTCAGCTACACTTTTTTTTTTTTTTTTTTTTTTTTTTAGAATTTTCCGGTAGTGCTAAAATTGTAAAAAAAAAAAAAAAAAAAAAAAAAACGAAAACAGATCTGAGGATAGCATTGTCTGAGAATTTTGTTTAATGATTTTCTGGGATCAAAACTAAGACCGCCCATATATGGAGGTTTTGTATTCATGTTGACTGTGGTTGATACAGGTTTTGGGTAGAATTTCTGACAGAAAAATGCGTAGGGCTTTATATACTAGATAAGATGGGTACCCATTTGTAATGAAATACTCCATTAAGAATGAAGCTTCTTCATGAAAACTAGTCCAAATTGATCAGATGTTGTAAACCCGGTTGATGAGAAGTGTTGTAAGGCTTTTTAGCTTGTAAATATGAGATAGTGAAATCCAAGGCCAGTGAATGTGGGTTTCCTGTAGGCACTGGCGAAGAAGCAGTTATTGCAAAAATGTATGCACGTATCAAGAAATGAGAGTTTATTATAATTTTTTTTTCAAATTCACAAGTTAATTTGATATTAGGGTGTTGTGAATTCAAGTATGAGGAGAGGGCAAATGTGAAAAAGGTCGTTAAATAAGAAAGTATCATCCATGTAACGACGATGTGAAATAGGTTTGAAATTAGCAGGGCAATCATTCAACCAATGGTAGCAAAGGGAGGTATTGGCGTAACAAGGGCCAAGTGGTGATCCCATTGCTACTCCGTCTATCTGCGTGTCCATGGAGTCGTTGAAAGTAAACTGAAATGTGAGCAGCTACATCCTATAGGGTCGAGGAGTTGTTACCCAACCCAAAGATGCATATATATATATAGATAGATAGATAGATAGATAGATAGATAGATAGATAGATAGATAGATAGATAGATAGATAGATAGATAGATATATGTATGTATGTTTATGTATATGCATATGTATATGTGTATATATATATATATATATATATATATATATATATATATATATATATATATATATATATGTATATATATATGCATATATATATATGTATATATATATGCATATATATATATATATATATATATATATATATATATATATATATATATATATATATATATATATATATATATATATATATATATATATATATATATATATATATATATATATTATATATATATATATATATATATATATATATATATGCATATATATATATATATATATATATATATATATATATATATATATATATATATATATACATACATATATGTATATATATGGATATGTACATATGTATATATGCATCTATACAAATATATAAATGCATATATACGTATATCTATATATTTGCATATAAATATATATATATATATATATATATATATATATATATATATATATATATGCATATATATATATATATATATATATATATATATATATATATATATATATATATGCATATATATATATATATATATATATATATATATATATATATATATATATATATATATGTATACATATATATCATCATCATCGTCACCATCAGCCTGAGTCAATCCACTGCAGCTTTGTCTGTCTTGTATTTTTTGCTTCCAATCTTGGCCCCCAAATTTCGTTATTTCGTCGCGTCAAGGGCCAGACCTATGACAAGAAGCCTACCTGTTCTCTAGGGTGGTTAGAATCCAGACTGTCAGAGATGCGAGTTGTGATGATTTTAGTGAACAGTTTGTAAGTAAGTGAAAGGAGGCTTATGGGTCGGTAGTTTTTTAGATCCTTTCTGTCCCCTTTTTTATGTATCAAAATAATTGATGCATTTTCCAGGCTTTTCAGCTATTTCTATTTTGTCCCTATTTGTTTTTGCATAAGTTCTGTAGTTTCCATCGAGAGCTCACTGGAGCTTTGTTTGACGTTCTTACCGCCTACTTCAAGTGCAGCTTCCTTTATTATGTCATTGAACTGTTTGTTGATTTGGTCAATGTTGAGATCTTCCTCGATGAGGAGTGAATATCTGTTTTGGATGTTAATGCTAAATTCTGTCGCTCTGGTCTCCAAGTTAACTATGTTTGGCTGCGGTTTTCGTATGAGTTTGTTCCTTTCCCTTCTGAGGTGTACTTTAATTTGGCCTCCGACCATCCTATGGTCGCTGCCAACATTTACTTTATTAATAACTTCCACATCTTTTACTAAATTGCGCCTATTTGAAATTATGAAAATTTCGTTTTTGATGTCCGATGGCGACTTCCATGTCCACTTCCGTTCTAGCCTTTTTTCGAAGAATTTATTAATGATATTGAGTGATCGAGCCTCCGCAAAATCGATTGGCATTTGCCCCCTCTCATTCCTAGTGCCTATTCCGTGATTGCCCACTATGGTTTCTCTCTCTGTCTTTTTACCTATTTTGGCATTAAAGTCTCCCATAATTATTGTGAAATGGGTTTTTGTTCTCCCGCTGGCTAAATGAACATTTTCATAGAAGGTTTATATTTCTTCATCACTGTGGCTGCAAGTTGGAGCATAGACTTGAACAACCTTCAAGTTGTACCTATTGTTTAGTTTTATTGTTACTGAAGCCACTCTTTCGTTTATACTATGGAATTCCACGATATTCTTTAGCAAACGTTTGTTAACTCAGAAACCTACCCCCACGACATCCCATTTTATAAGAGAGTTCCTTAAGTAATGCTAGTAAGTCGGATTCTGTTCTCATTGTCATTATATTATAGGTGCAAAGGTTCATCAACGTGGGGCGGCCTGTTCTTAGCCGGGGATCCTGATCGCCGGGTGTTGTTCTGTCTGTGCAGTCAGGGTTTTTGATTGTGAGGTAGACAGCCGAGTTACCTCCCACCTACTGGGCTAGGTGTATCTTGGTGGGAGAGGGAGTAGTTTAGCCGGGATGCCACTGATATGATAAGCCCCTCCAACAAGTTTGGCCCTGTCTAGTGTGGACTTATGGGCAGCAACGCACGGGCCTGCTCACTACACCGGGGTATACTCCCGTGAGCATGACATACGTTTATGTGCACAGACTAGTACTCATCCACATATATATGTATATATACCTATA